TAATTTAAATAACGTTAACTCTTTTTTTTATAATGTTATACAAAAATTCATAATCTGATCCATTTATTTGTGAACACGGATTAGATTATATGAAAATCCAATCCAATCTAAATGGATTAGAAAATCCAATCCAATCCAATCCAATTGAATTTGTGAATACACCCATTTCTGAATTGACGACGTTGAGAGTTTCTTGCTCTTTAAAGGGGAGATGTTAAGTTGAATGTTAAAGAATTGAAAAATATGATCTGAATTATCCGACTAATCTATTTACACCGCTTTGCGATTATCGCAGCTTAATTCCAGACTGCAACATCATTTCGAAAAGTTGAGACCATCGTTGTTCCATTCATCTTTATCTTTTTTTAAAATGTTGAGAAAAATGTAGCCGTTTCACGACTTTGAAGCTAAACGCGTCAATATTTAATTTTACTATTTACTTTGCCACTTTGTTTTTTTGCAAGTTTTTTATACCTTTTTCATGAACTATATGGGGCTTTTGCAATAGAAATGGAGGAAACTGCCGGAAAAATCAAAAATGAGTTAATGCTAAATTTGAACATATTTCAGCCTAAAAATTATATTTGGCATATAAAAGTAAAATTAATTTTTCCTAGCAGTTTCCCCCCTTTCTATTGCAAAGGCCCATCCCATATATTATATAATATTTACGAAATTTACTGAGTTGAGAAAAAAGAATGTACTTTCTCAATGAACGTATTTTGATCTATGGTTACATGCTTATTGCAGAAAATCAGATAATTGCATTCACTGATTCGTTAACACATAATATATATACCCGTGATTTTATATTAAATTATATTATATATTAAATATTTTTTTATATACTGTATAAGCATGAAATAACTGGTAAATTTGCTAAATATGCAATAAAAAAATATAAGTCTCATAGGAGAATTCCAGAACATATTTATGAAAGTTTTTCTGAATAATTCAGATAACTGTGAAGGAAATTCTAATTTGACAGTCACCTATTAAAATAATATTATATATTAATTTTTTTTATGTATATAATAAATAAACTTGAATTCTTTTACTTTAAATCCTTATTAATTATAATATTTCTATAAAAAAAATCATATAATTAAATTCATAAACATGTTTAATTTATCAAGTAATAATAAATTAAAAATGGGAATACATATTAAGATCCTCAGAATTCATTCAAGAAGCTTTGGATTTACCGATCTAATAAATACAAAACTGTTTGTCAAAGTTTAGAAGAATATTATGAATTAAGTGAACAATTAAAAATTTTACATATTTAATAAAACAGGCTTGACAAATTTTATTATTAAAGTATTTATTTAACAAAAATCCATTTTAAGTATATCAGATTATTTGTAATATTATATCTTAGATTATGATCACATTAGAATTCTTTGTATTATATATAGACTAGACTGGTATTCCTTTATAATTATATTGAAATCCTTGCTATTACACTTTCAAAATAAACTGATTATGATTCAAAGTAGAAAAAAAATAATTAAATGAAATAATGCTTACTCTCAGTAAATAAAAGCTTATTTCTCAATTTCTACTAATTCTTAGACCTTTTAATAAAATAAATATCTTGACAATGTAACTTATATTATACTTAATATGATATATCAAATAATAAATAATTAAAAGGTGATTTAAAAAAATCAATTCAAAAAGAGATTTTAAATAATACAAATTCAGATATATTAAATGGTAAAATTATTCTTAATGCTATAGATAATATATTTGCTAATTATAATTTTAAAAAAGCAGAAAATAAAAGAATAAATTTTAATATTAATATTTTAATAAAGACAGCTGGCATATTTGAACTAATTAAAAATATTTTATATGTTATTATTTTTAATCATCTAATGCAAAAAATTAGATTCTTATACTATTTGATCTACATAACCAAATCTTTCTTTATTTTAGTTGAATTCAAATGATCAATAGATAGTTAAATTAGTTTAAAAAGAAAAGTATAATAAATTGAAGTTTCAGAAATAACTAAAAAAAAAAATAATATGAAAAAAAAAGTCAGAAAAAAAGAGCATAACAAATGAAATATAGAATCAGTATAATTAAAAATGGTGATAATAATGTTCTTTTTATATATCAACCAAACTTCATAAAGAGGTTTGAAAATGAGATGATAAATATTTCAAGATTTCTGAGATTTATTACAAAAAGGATCTGTTTATTTGATCATGCAGAAAATTTTTCTAAATTAGTAAGAATTTATTTATCAGTTTCTGCTACTTTCACAGTTAATGAACATTTATTTAGTAATATTGATAATTTATTAACTATTAAAAAAATTAGGATTAATTCAAATCTTTTTTAACAGTTGATATTTTAAAAGAAATTATGATATATTTGAATCTATTTATCCAGTTTAATAGTCTGTAAATGAAATGGGTTTTTTAAATTTGTATCATTTTAAAGAATTATAAGATTCTGATATTTAAAGATCATTATAACTAAATAAGTTAAATAAATTATTTCTAAGCTCAAAATTTTTTGCAATTACGTGTAGCAATTTGATATTGTAAAACAGAAGGTATTAAAGCCTTTAAAGTCTTAATAATTGTATCTAATTCTTGATATTATTTATAAATACTTGATTTAGATAAAACACCATATCACACTATGCAAGGTTAAGGAAATACTTGCAGAATTTATCTACAAAAGATGCTTATTTATTAAGATATTAATTGAAAAAAGATGATTCCCCAAATATCAAAAGCATTAAAAACTTTCTTTAGTGGGTCTTTGAAGTCTTGTAATAAGTCAGGAAATGTTGTAATTTATCTCTTCAACATCTTAGCTCTTTTTTCTTCAACTGTGAATATATATTTTATTCAATTCAACTTGCTTAAAATTCTCCTTTTTAAACCTTCACTTTTAATTTTTTTAAAATAATTAAAGATCAACTACATGAAATTCATATATCCCATTTTAAGACCTTGATTTTATTGATAGATTACAAGGAACGTCAAAGAGTTCATCACGCGAGAAAAATACAATTCACCCATGAAGAAGAATTTCAAAACCATGTTATAACAACATTCGACAATAAAATAAAAAGGTTCGAAAACTTCAAGAATAGGTATCATAATTACCAAGAGCTTGATATAATACATAGGTCCCATCATTATAAATTATAAAACTATAATTATTTTCACCATTCATAAAATATCCATGTTCTTGCTTATTCCAAGAAATTGGTGAATCTTTAAATCCCCATACATTAATAATAGCCCATGAAATCTTATCATCTTTACTTTCTTGAAGAAATTTTCTTTTTTTTTTTAAAAAAAAAATTAATTGGTTTGTAAATATTCTGAACGTGTAATTTAAAAAAAAAAAATGGATAAGGGAGAAAAATGTAAATACGTACAAAACCGAATCAAATAATTCTTTGATGGTTGAAGATGGAATGAAACCTGACCATTTTATGAATGATCCATTTCCATTCGAATACGGTTCAGGAGGTTTATATACAGAGATATATGGATCCACTTGATCGTTTGATTGAATTCTAAAAAAAAGCCCCCAATAACCGAATAATATAATATTAATATTAAAATTCGTAAAAAGAAATTCATTTCAATTGAACAATAATAATACCTCTGTGCCTGAATTGAATTCATTCCAATCCAATCATAAATTTCCACAGCATCTAATCTCCATTGATATTCATTTGAAATATTTTTAATTATATTTAAATCAGGAATCAGAATACCTTCAGGTATCGTATTAAAATCAAATTTTCCTAAAAGTTTTTTTGAATTAAATGATGATGGAAAATCTATTTCACACGTTTTGTTTTCGGTAAATTTCACGAATGACATTAAAAATGTAAATTTTTTTGTTAACGTATTATTAAAAACCCATTTGATTCTCTCATATCCCTTTTTTCCTGGAATTAACGATCTTCTTTTTAAATCAATTTGAACAACTAAAAAATCATAAAGACGACGTCAATCCAAGCAAAAAAAAAAAATTTGTTATAAAGTTTTATAATCAATTACCAAATCTTTGTTTGTTTGGACCGAATTTCGTTGAATGACCATCTAATCCAAGTTCTTCGTAAGTATCTTTTGTCAAATTTAATATCAAATTTCCTAATTAAAATACGCTAAGATGTTTGTCAAATGTGTTAAATATTTTTTTTTTTTAGAAAAAAAAAAAAAATAAATAAAAAGATAAAGAAATTTTTTTACCTGAAAAGTCTAAAGCGATTACATTTGAAATGTCAATTCCTTCAGTCAAACTTAAAGCAACGACACGACCTACGAAAGAACCATTTTGTTTTAGGAAAAACGGATAAACAACTGTTGTGTATATATAACATAATAATTACCAGCATTAACATAATTTTGTATAAAGTTTGTATCAATAAACCATGATAAAGGTAAATCAACTTTGTAATAAAAGAATTCACTATCAAGAGAATTAGGAATTTTTTCAGTAAAATCTATTATTGAGGGGAAAAAAATTTCTAAATGATTATTAAATGGATGATCTAAAATGATTTTTTCATGACATGACTTTGGTAATGTAATTGATGAATGTGAAATGTAAAGTTTTGATTTTATAGGTTCTGATAAAGACATTTTTTTTTTTAAAACAATTAAAAAAAGATGATCTATCCGACTACAATCTTATGATTTATATTTAGTTACACGTTTAAATAGGGTTCTTGTTTGCGATCGTTAATTAAAATGTACATGATCTTTTATTTATTTGCGATTTGAGATTCGGGATCGTGTAAAAATTTTTTTTTCGAATTTTCCTATAAAAAGGTAATCTTATCTAAGCAAATTTTTGATAAGTAAGATAATCAAATATGATATATTATTATCGCACTTTTCAGACTCTCAAGAATTTTCTTCCCTATTCCAATTTTCATAAGTTAACATCTTTTCAACAAATCAAGAATCAAAGATATTTACCAAAAAATTCTCTATCATTTTCTACAAATTCAAAGTCACTTATTAAAGAAATTATAAAAAATCAAACTTCACTTTTAATCAAATGGTCGAATTCAAATTCTTTATCAAATTATAATTATATCTGGTTACGTGATAATTGTCAATGTCCTCTTTGTGTTCATCCCGATAATCGTCAAAAGTTATTATCAAGTTCAGAAGTTCCTCTTGATATCAAACCAATTTCGATCGAATCTTCTTTAGATAAATTAGAAATCACCTGGGATAATGAGTTACATCCTATAATCAACAACAACAACAATCACAATAATAATTCAAACCAACCTCATAAGAGCATATATCCAATTTCATTCCTTCATTCTTATTCTACAAAACAAAATATTTTAAAATTACATTACAACCATTTAAAACCAATATTATGGGATTCATCATCCATTATTAATTCTCAAAATCTTTGGATATCTTATAATGATTATATGAATTCAGACAAAATTTTACTTGATTCTCTGAGACAATTATGGGATTATGGATTAGTATTTATTAAAAATGTTCCTACTGGCGATGATGACGACAAAGGGATTTTAAATGTTGCAGAAAGGATAGGAAACATCAGATCAACTATTTATGGTAAAGTTTTTGATGTAAAATCCATACCCGCCGCTAATAATATCGCTTATACCAGTTTAAATTTAAATTTACATATGGATTTATTGTAAGTCTATATTCTATTTATTTATTTTTTTTAAAAGAAAAAATATATAATAAAATATGTAATATTAATTTTAATTTCATAAAAAAAAAGATATTATGAAACACCGCCAGGGTTACAATTCTTGCATTGCTTAAAAAATTCAGTTACGGGTGGTCAAAGTATATTCTCCGATACATTTAAAGCGATCCAAAAATTAAATTTCCACCATCCTAATTATTTTAATCTCTTAACAACATTTCCTTTAACATTTCATTACATAAATAATGGTCATCATATGTATTATAATCGTCCTGCTATTGTAATAGATGATTATAATGATACTTTAACCGTAAATTATGCACCTCCTTTTCAAGGTCCTATTGAATTCACTTTGGGTTCCAATGATGATGAAAATGAAATTAATTTAATCGAATTTTATAGAGCTTATCAACAATTTTGTAAATTTATTGAAGAACCTTCGTTGAAATTTGAATTGACTTTAAAACCTAGTGATTTAGTTATATTCGCTAATAGACGTGTGTTACATGCGAGAAAATCTTTTGATCCTCAAAGTGGTCAAAGACATCTTAAAGGTACTTACGTAGAATATTGTGAATTTAAAGATAAATTTAGAGTGCTGATGAACAAACATGACAACAATCTATTACTTTGATGATTTCTTTTTTATTATTATTAATATATAATATATATATTTATTTATTTATTTATTTATTTATTCCTTTTTTTCTTAATAATTAAAATTTATATGCAGATAGATGCATATAAAGATTCTATTACTGTTACAATGAAAAATCAAAATATCATACACATCTCTCCTATCTCGAATCATCTTCTATAATACATTAACATATAATAATAATTAATCAAACGGTTGCGATTATTCAATACGTCAATCATGGTTGAGTATCAAAAAAGTAATTATTATTACTAATTATGAATTAAAGGGTAATTTCCTAATGCATTACATCCTTCCTTTGATTTTTTGGGGGGTTTGTAAATTAATTTGAATGTAATGATATATCAATATTTTCCCCGAACGAACCATATATTTAAATCCAATTTTTTTTTCTCTTTCTCAATTAATTAATTAATTATTTAATTACAAAGTAATATTATAAAGTAATCCGGATCACCTTAACCCTGCCCACATACATACTGTTCGATCCTTATCTGCACTAAATAGTTGTCCACCTTGTGGACTCCAAGACACACCACATATAGGTGCACTAATATAAACAAATAAGTCAATAAAAACAAGTTTACCATGTGAAAATAATACAATACATACATATGTTCTTTTGTTGTCTTCTCCAATTTTGATTTCTGGGTATTCCAGTAGAAAATTGTCCCATCTAATTGATAATTATATAAAGAAAATTAAGAAAAAAAATTTTTTTTCAATTCTTATAAAGGATAAAATAAATAAATTAATATATATTCACCTAATGAACCCGCCGCCACATATCTACCATCAGGACTGTTAAAAGCATCAAAATCGGTATTAAATATAAAACTGCTTAATTGATATTGATATTTGTATAAATACATATATAAACATTATTACCTAAAGCAAGATCGAGCCCAATTGGCGCCAGTTTTATATCCATCAGCGCTAAACGTTACGGAACAATATAGAACAATGTGAATAAATATTTGAAAATAATAAATTATGTTTTGAATAAGATAACGATCATTCGTACTGTAACGTTTGTTCAACTTCGTAAGTTTTAAGATCAACTATCTTGAGTGTGTTATCTCGAGAATTAGTTAAAACTTTGGAACCATCTTATAAATAAGAAAATTAGAATTTAACAAATATTCAAATAATAGTATAAAACTTTTTAATAAATAAAATAACGAATTACCTGGAGAAACTGAAACAGAAGTAATTTGTCCCAAATGAATGCCAGTCAATTCCTTAATATCTTTTCCGGACCGTACATCCCAGAAACGTAAATTGTTATCCAAATGGCCACTCACAAGTGTCGTACTAATAATTGTAGGATATATCTAACTTTTGTGTTTCCATCAAATAAAAAAATAAATAAATAATCATAAAGATTAAAAACATACCCGTAATCATCTAAAGGAACTACATCGTTGCAACTGGAAAATGAAAAAATCGTTCGAATGCCTAATAGAGATGTAATAATAAAGTAAATATATAGATATTATAATTCGAAAGAAATAAAAAATTCACATACAATATCCTTTCTGTAAATCCCACACTTTAACTGTACGATCGTGACTGCCTGTGATCTTTTAATATTAAAAGCATAGTGAGAAAAATTGAACATTTATTAACAGCACAAAATACAAACACATCTTACCACTTTAGTAGAATCTCCATTGAATCTAGCAGAATATACTTTCCCAACATGACCAGTTAAGGTGAGCTAAAAATGTTAAACCCAAATTTAGCAAAAGTATTTCTTGCAAGAATGGGATTTTAACATGAGAAAGAGATAAATGAAGTTTACTAACCCTTATCCGACCAGTTTTTAAATGCCACAATCTTGCAGCATTGTCATTTGAAGCGCCAGCGACCATTTCGTTTGTATTATTGAAAGATACATGCATGACGGATTGTATCGACCCCGATAGCGTCTGTTTCACTTGACCTAGACATAATAAAAATCAATATGTATTCTATAACGGGTCAAATCACAAAGTTGTTATCAAAACCTGTTGTAGAATCAAAAATTTTTATAGTTTTATCAGCACTGCCCGTGGCAAACATAGTTCCATCATAAGATGATACAATTGAATGAATCTCGCCATCATGTGGTGTCTAATGAAATAAAAGAAACTTTTGTTTATATTTGAATTATCAAATACATAACAAACAAATTAAAATATTTACAATTTTTTTCGTTAAAGTTGTCGGTATTATCACTGGACCATAATTTTTTCCTCGTGTTCTATTAAAAGAAATACTGTAGGTTAACAAAACTATCCTTTGTAAAGTACAACTGTCGTGTCTCGATTTTCACCTGAAAATAATTTAACTTAAAGGCGTCTTGGATTTAAACTACGATCTTTTCGCAACAGAAATAATTTATTATAGTATAGAAAATTATGAATTAATTATATAAAAGTAATATTAATGATACTTATGATCAAATAGATTGCACTTTAAGGAATCCAACTCGTTATTACAACAGCTTATTCAAAGGGAAAAATAAAAACTGAAGTTGCTCAAGTTTAAATTTACGCAGGTGAAAATCATGGACAATATGACAAGATAAATAGAGTTAAGATATTTATACCACCTTATAGTACCAGTGCCAGCTTCAGGAAATGTGATTGATTTTGGTACATTGTTCATCGGAGTAAATTCTTTGTCAACAATGACAACTCCGCTTTGAAATTCTAAAGCTTTAGCATGAACCTCCAGAGCACTAGATAAAAAATATATTTAAGATCGTCGTATTAAAGAGCCTAAAAAATTTTTTTTTTCTAACAAACCTCTCATAAAATTGATTTGCCTCATTCATTTTCTCGGCTTCTTCATTCATCTTTCTCAACCAACGTTGTAAAAGTTGACCATTTTCTCTTTCTAAATCTCTCATACGCTCGTCAATTTTCCCTATTTCTAATTGCAAAGTTGCCAACTCATCTTGCAACAACTGATTTTATATAAAATTAAAGTATTGATAACTTGTTTTAACATATTGTATAAAGTTTTCGTTAAATCTTACCTGTATTGTAATATCTTTTTCACGCAGAACTTGAACTTGGAGATCCACCTTGGCGGTAAGTGCTTGATTTAATTCTGTCAATCTTTGAACTCTGAGAATAAAATGTTCAACTTAATAATGTTTTAAAAAATTAAGAGTGAAAATTTTTTAACGTACTCCTCATGATTCCTCTTTTCTGTTTCTTCATGAACTCGTAAACTATCATTCAAATCTAATAAACGTTGTGCATTCTTTCCTTGTGTTTTATACAATTCTGTACGTTCGTCTTTGAGAGCTTGTATTTGCTGTTCTAACTCTGCAGTTTTCTTTTGATTTAATGGACTCCTGTCAAAGATAAATGAAATCATCAAAAGTAATTTATACATACAAATGATGGAAAGAAAAAAAAAAGAAAGAAAGAAAGATCAAATACCCTTGTTCTCTTAAGATCTCTACCTCTCGTGATAAATTTGAATGCTTTTCTGTTGCAGACTTTTCTGATTGTTCCAATTCAGCATTCCTGTCCGCGAATTTCCCAAGTTTCTGAACGAGTGAATTGTCTAGATATTTGAAATTGATAACAGTTTAATTCATTAGAATTAATTACATTACATTTTAAATTTTATAATTATATTGTAGATGGAATTTGGAGTTCAGATAGAGAAATATGCAACAATGGAATATAATTAATGCAAATTTGGGCAAGCTTCACTAGTATTAATGGTATTTTTGACTAATAAGTTCAATGGATCAAGTTAACAAGAAAAAAAAAAATCGGTCCATTTAATTCTTTTTTACGTGGACCAAACGTGTGGACTTATGTAAAGCACCAACTGTAAACATATTTCATTCACTATGCAGCTACAATTTCTACCCAATGAAAGAACTTACAAGACTCAACAAAATCCGTAAATGCCTTTTCTCGTCTATCTCTCACTAACAATTTAACAAGTAGATCTCCTTGCCAGTTCCCAGCGGGAATATTGCTGTTAGTTGATGCGCCTGCAGGTGAGAAAGTTGACATGTTTCTAAATATGAAATGCGATATTGAAATGGATTTCAGTTTTATTAGCTCGGTGATCACATGATCGCTCATGTCGTGTAACTTACAATATTTAGCGTTTTTTTTTTTTTTTTTTTAAAAAAAAAAAAAAACCATTATTGTTATTAAGGAAATTTTTAATTTTAATAATTTTAATTTGTAATTAAATAATCTAAAAAAAAAAAATCTTTTAGTAAAATAACGGATAAATAATATATATAAATAAAAAAAAATTTTCAATATAATAAAATAAGCATTATAATTGAATTTTTTTATTCGCCCTCAACCAACACCAAATAAGCATCAAAAGTTATAGTTTTTTTTTTTTTTTAAAAAATAAAAATAAAAATAAAAAAAAAAAATTAAGAAAATACCATAGATCAAAAAAGAAGTTGATTGTACAAGATAAATGTGTATGAATGTATAGTGATGACTCTCCCGCAATATGTACGTACAGTAAATAATATATAAATCATTAATAAAAGGTGAGAATTAACAAGCAATAATACAAATAATAAAATAAAGCAAAAAGAAGCAAAAACATTCATTGATTATATTCGCAGCAAATTATTTTAAAAAAATTTGATGGTATATATATATATAGTTCAATGAAAAAACAAAAGCATGGAATTTTCTGTTTTAATTTAAAACAACACTATTTGAGCCCCTCTCATCACTTAATTTAAATTGCTCAAAGAAATGAAGAAGCATAAACGTCTTCTTATTCCTTCAGCTAAAGTTTACAAAAGAATTCCATCCTACATTTTACCATAGCATTTTAACACGCACAAGTATCGTATTTGGAATTATCATTATCAATCTTAATCGGATCCGGAAAGTCGTTATAGCTGTTAGCGGGGAAAAAAAAGATAAATAAGAAAATTTGAAATTTACAAAGTATATAATCCTTATCATGCATACAAATCTGGATCAGCCTCCTGTTGTAAAGCATTTTTCGCAATAGTTTGGAATGCATTTTCAACATTGATTGCTTCTTTAGCACTTGTTTCAAAATAAGGAATGTTGCCTTTGGATTGACACCAAGTCATGGCCCGTTTTTGAGATACCTAATGATTCATAAAAGATCGTTATTAAATCTAAAGAATCGCAATACAATGCCTATTAATTTAAGTTAATCATACTAATAGTAAATTCTTTCAGAAAAATACCACTCTCTTTGATTCTTCCATATCGATTTTGTTACCCAAGACAACAAATGGAAAATTTTCAGGATCTCGTGGAGAAGCCTGGATCAAGAATTCATCTCTCCAACTATCCAACGTTTCAAAACTCTTGGAATTATTAACATCATACACAAGAACACAACAATCGGCTCCACGGTAAAAGGCAACTCCTAAGGATTGAAAACGTTCTTGTCCAGCGGTATCCCAAATCTATATAAATAACCGATAGTAAGTTTTTAATCTAGCAATTTTTGTAAGGTTGTTGAATCAATTATATCCGAACCTGCATCGTTACAAGACGGTCATCAACCATGACCTCTTTAGTTAAGAAATCAGCGCCGATAGTAGCTTTATATTGATTACTGAATTTTTTATTGACATATTGATTCATTAATGATGTTTTTCCAACACTGTAAATAAAAAAAACAATGTAAATTAGAATATATTAACGCCCAACATTTTTTATGTCCGGAACTTATTTATCGTTTATAAAAATTCAGACGTTTATTAAACACGATATAAATTTTTGTTATTAAATTCTAATTATTTTAGTTGATAAACACGTACCCGCTATCGCCTAGGATAATAACCTTTTAAAATAAAATAATTAAATACAAAAAAAATTGTAATAATCAGTATATAATCTAGTTTTAACAATGAAAACAGAAATTGACACTAAAGGAGATCATTGAGACAGGGAGCTTACTTTCAAAAGAACTTTCTTACGAGAAGCCATTGTAATTATTGGTTAAATTTCAACAGTTAAGTACAGTTCTCGGAAAAAACAAAAAAAAATTACAGACAAGAAAAACAAATGTGAACAAAAGTAAAGTAATAAATAAAATCGATAAATGTTTATTTATTCCTTGTTAAAGTTTTATAGTATCCACGTTATATGTAAGTACATAGAAATCGGAACTGAAAAGAAAAATGATAGACAGGGATAAAATGGATAAATATAGGAGGGAGAGGTTTTTAACTGATTGATCTATGTTAGGGGTTCGGCTGAATTACTTGTGAAACAGACGAGGAATTTTTCGCCCTTTTCGCAATCAAGGGGTTTATGACATCAGAATACAGACGAAATCATAATGTAAAAGAAAAACACATTTTTCCACGCCTTGCACAGAAATAGATGTGATGTTCATGGTTGATCATTTGGTCACAACATATAGCTAAATTATCATCATTTTTAAATATGTAGTCGGATTGACATCTCATCTTTTTTAGTAGTAAGGTTTATTATTAGATTATTATTTATTGGATTTTGTTTAGATGCTGATTATTCACTAGATGTAAAGATTTTTTGATTTTGTTGATTATATTGTTTTGTAAAACATAAATCGATCAAAAAAAAGATAAAATCAAAAAGATCGCACAATTCTAATTCTTTTTAAAAAAAGGACCAAATAAATATTATTTAAATTATAAAAATCGAATCTTGATTTTACTCGAAGGGCTAATTTATCCTTTGATTAACTTTTGGTTCCCAAGAGAGAATTTTAGGAGCTGTTGTATTATACGTCTTAAAAGCTTTACGAGTTCCTGTAAAATTCTCGGTAAAAGGGGAGATGTACTTTGGACGTGGTGGAGGATCCATAGTAGGAGGAAGCTCCGTAATCTTATGCATCCAGCTATGCCTATCCAATAGATTTAATATTAGGAAACAGTATAACCCAGAATCGTTATACATTAAAGACGATTCAAATATCTACCATTCCGGAGGAATTTGACTAGCATCACCATAGTGTTTGGCATAATCTACCCATCGATCTCGACCTTTGATAAAAAACATGAAATTTTAGAATGAGAATTATGAGATTGTTATATATAAATATTATTACTAGCCTAACCCTCGCTCAGCAACTCTAAGTCGAATTTATACGATTCGTACTCTAAACGCGATCATCCTTGAATGACAAAAAAAAAAAAAAAAAAAGAGTACCGAAAAACTCCTCTATATTTTCATAATATTTGTTTCCAAATTGATCTATTCCAACAAGAGTTCCAGCTTTAGTATCACCAATATACATCATTTGCCTCAAGTACTCTTTAGGGCCTATTTTGAGAAAATTCTTGAAAGTTCGGGTGAGAGAAGACATGTTTATTATAACGTTTCAACATGAAACAATGGCAAAAGTCATCACATGTAGTTATACTAAAAGTGGTAATTATATTATAAATTCTAATGGTGGACTTTGATTGGCTATTGATTTTCAAAGCCACCATAAAAGTATTGTGGTTCCGTCACCCGTTTCTGTCGATAAATTTCCTCGTTGAGGTTTTTATAACCAAGTTACATCAAAACATGGTTTTTACAGAACGGCAGCGTTATACTGTCGGCATTATAACATTATTATGTGTGGTACTGATTTGGGTTGGGTCTTCGTTTTTAATGAACGTAAGTTTCGTTTGAAAACCTTAAAATTTGAATATTATATATATATATTTTTAAACTTTATTTATATTAACTTATTTCAGAATATTTTTGGAAAACAAGAGTATAATAAACCATTCGCCATTACATATATAAATACAGCTTCCTTTTCATTATATTTATTATACTTTCTTTGTAATAAGAAACGTCCCATAGATAAACAAAGGTATTGATTTTTTGAATTATATAAGTTAATATTATCTATTTAATATTTACATAAATATTAAGAATTTATTCCAATCATAGAATAATTGAATTTAACAACGCGTTGTATGATGCTCTATCACGTTCATCATTTGATTCAACAAGTGAAGCTTCATCGAATTCAAATGATGGTATGAATGTAAGTTACTTTTAACCCCCTTTGATATTTGACATATTCCTTTATTGATTTAACCCTTCTTTATTTTGATAAATAGGATTTCCAAGAAAATATAATTTTACAACCCGAGGAGCACTCTATGTACTCATCATCTCATGAATTAGGGCTAATTAATGATAATAATAATTCTTCTTTTATCCGATCACATCGTGAAACATCAGATAATCATCCTCATATCGACCCCCATGATGTGCTTTCGTCCATGCGAGATGAAGAAAAGCTGTCAACTCGACAGGTTTGAAATGAAATAATTTTTTTGATTTTACATTTATTTATTCAATTGGAATTCAAGATTTTTATTTATAGATTGCCAAGTTAGGATTTACCTTTTGTATTTTATGGTTTGCAGGTATTTTCGAATTTCTTTATTAAAAAAAGTTAATTCTAAATTCTTAACATCTTCTATATCACACTTAGCCAACTGGAGTACCAATGCATCCCTTGCGTATACATCTGTCGCAAGTAGCACAATTTTATCTTCAACATCAGGTTCGTATTTGTTATTAAAATATTTATATTTTATTTATAAGTTTTTAATATTTCAACTTTCTTCCCATAGGATTTTTCACTTTAGTTATTGGATCTTTTGTTAAAGTTGAAAAGTTTACATTCCTTAAATTAGTAGCAGTATTAATAAGGTAAAACATTTAAGCAAGAATTTTTAGTTAAATTCTTTTTAATATTTATTTTTTCCAATTTACCTTTTTCTTTTTTTTTCATTTAGCTTTTTTGGTGTTTACTTAATATCAAATGGAGATACATCCAATAAACCTAATGATAGTCTACATCCTACTAATAATTCATTATTTGGTGACTTTCTCGCTCTAATTGGAGCTTTCTTTTATGGATGTTACACTATTTTATTGAAATTACGTATTCAAAATGAATCTCGTGTCAATATGCCTTTGTTCTTTGGATTTGTTGGAATTTTCAACGTGATTTTGCTTTGGCCATTATTTTGGTTGTTGCATTTTGTTGGGCTAGAACCATTTCAACTTCCACAAAATAGTACCATATGGATAATGGTTGCAATAAATGCATTGATAGGTACTTTCTTATCTGACTATCTCTGGCTTATTGCCGTTTTGATGACGTCGCCGTTAACTGTTACGCTCGGGTTAAGCTTAACGATACCTTTGGCGTTACTTGGTGATTTTTTCAAAGGATTTTTCATGAGCACAGGGTATTTTTTTGGAGTTATTATGGTGACTAGTGGATTTATTGGTGTGAATTTTTTGGAGATTAAAGAAAAATCAAATGATCGAAAGCCCGAAATATATTTGGAAAATGAAAGAGATTCTGTTCGTGTTTTATCGTAATTATTTTTGGACATTCAAGAAAGAAAAGTAGTTTTCTTTTTTTTTTTTTTGTTTCTTTTTTTAGTTATTTTACTTTTTAAATCCATAGAGTACAATAGATTCAATAAATTATTTAAATGAATTCTTGTTAGCCTCAATATGTTAACTGTAAAAAATTCAAGTATATATATATATACATTAATTAAATATATATAATATACCAAAAAAAAAATAACTATTGCCATCTGAATTGAGGTAGTATTTTCCAAATATAAAATTTTCCTAAGCAATCTTTCTTCGTTTGAATGGTACACGTTTATGTTCTTTTGAAGCATTCTTTTTCCTACGTTTTTCTATTACTTTTTCTAATACTTTAGGATCAGAATTTTGTAATTTATCAAACTTATCAATAAGTTCCAGATTTTTCTCATCAACTAAAAAATATGCATGTAAAGAAAAGTATATTAAAAATCATTATATATATATATATTAGATAGTTGAGATTAAACATAAATAATATTACCTTTCTTATAATAAAATGGATTCTTCCCTTGGGCAACAAGTTCCAATTCTTTTTTCTTTCTTTTACGTTTTAACTCTTTTTTATGTTTAAGATTGTGTTCGTGAGCAATTTTTGATTTCTAATATATATATATATATATATTAAAAAAGATTTAATATTCTTTAATAAAGCGTTTATAATAATAATAATAGTAATAAAAGGAAATTGTAACCTACTAATTTATTTAATAGTAGTTGTAATTTAGATTTTTCCTTAATATCACTTTCTTTTTTAATTTCATTGGTTATGAGTTCAATTTCTGATTTTTTATATTCATCTAAAAATGAATATGATTTTTCAAATAAATCCTCATTAAACTTTCCTGATAAACTATCAAATCTAGGATCTCTTCTATGTTTAACCTATGAATAAGAAATTTATAAATAAATGGGATCATTTGTAAAGTTTATAAAATATATTCTTTTATTTACAGAATTTGAAATCTCCACTATTTGTCTAAACCTACTAACAGGTTTTTTTGAAGTTACTTCCATTGGACTAAATAATTTAAAAATTTTTCATCAGAATATTTCAAAATTTAATTCGATCAAATTTTTTTTTTTTTGTATTTACATACGCATGTTTATTCCTTCGTTTTTTCTGACCTTTTGTATTAATTTCTCCTTCTTCTGAACTTGATTCTTCTGTATCCTCCTCTGTTTCCTTCTCTGTATCCTCTTCTGTATCCTCCTGCAAACTTTCCTTTTCTTCTTCTTCTACAGAAAGAGTCCTCGTCAATTTCAAAAGGACTGATACTCTTACGTATTGGTTTCTTTTATTTTCTTACCTTTATTCATTTTCTATACCTTTGAAGCGTATCAAAGTAAACGATAAATTTATAAGCGATAGATTATATCATTAAGAAAAATTTCTGTTACTTAAAATACTAATGATTTCTAATTACATAATTAAATTTTCAAGCTATGCCTATGACAAATAATTTAAGTCACGTGGTATATCATGACCATCATGAGATCCTACGAAATTAGTTTCCTGAACGAATGCGAATTAGAACCGTATGAAACAAAAATAGATACTTGTATAAAACAACTCAAACAAATAATTGAATGTGACTGTGAGCAAGATGACAGGAAGAAAAGTGTTCAGATTCTGTTCGATAAATACCAAAAGGCGAGTAAAAATCTCATTTCACTGAGAGTGTAGGTGAGATAAAGTGGTGTGACGGAGAGACCTTCTTGGTAGTCATTCAAGGCTTTTTGCCGAGCCACGAAAATGGTGTTGGCGCTACTCGAGTTAACGGTGGCTAAAGGCTTCTTGCCGATCCAACATTGTACCACTGGGGCACAGGTGACCTTCTTGGTTGCGATGGGAGGAAAAATTGGATGGCAAATTGGGCATAAATGTTAGCAGAAAAATATTTTAATTTCCAGATCCTATTTTCTAGGCTCCCCAACCCGATCGTAAGAAAGCAAGAGAGTGGGAGGAAAAGCGTTCGCGTAGGCAAATAAACATCAATCGACCTACAATTGCAGGCATCAACGGGATCATAAACGGAAATATAAACGGCGGAATTTTTACTGGATTATCAGAAAGGACTACATTAAAGAGAGATCGAGAAAAGGTAAGATGCGCGGTTTTTTGTACCTTGAATTGGCAGAACTAATTGTGTGATTATTCCATTACTTTAGGACTACGATATAGTCACAAAACGAACAAAAATTGACGATGAGAATGTTCAATGGCCCTGTATCCAAGCTCACATACCTCCTTTGAGAGTTGTCTCTCCTCCAAACAGCTATCTTTGCAGCACCCAGCAGGAATTAATTAATCACATTTCGAAATGTTTTACTTCTTCAATTCCAGCTGTAGGAGCAAAGCGTAATGAGCACTAGGGGGTCAAAAAAAAAGACACGATTTATCTTGTGTTGTAAATAAAATTCCCATTTTAAACTTGGAATTTAAACCATTGGGGTATACTCCATTGCAACGGAGAAAAGATACCATGAAGGCACAACTAAAGGTTCGAAAATCAATGGAAACTAAGGGAGGTCCGGGAGTTAGTGCCGTATTTTTAAACATGGGTATGTATGCATGCTTGCAATAGATGAGATTACGTGTAATTCAATTATCTCTTATAATAATCAGGTGATTTAATGGAGTCCTCCTTTGTGGATTTGCAATACGACGGCTTAAATCGTTCTTACAACCAAGCTGGTGATCGACAAGATTACAATCCTATTAGCAGAATTTGCGATCAGCCATTTAGGTATATGACATGTCATCTTTGATTTTCATCATAACCATTTTGCTCAACTATTCAACTTTAATTTCTTTTTCAATGGCAGGAACGTGTTGAAAACATTGCTAGGGACTTCAAATATCAAAATTATCGAAATAACAAATCTACACAACCTGCAAAAATATCCTTTATGCGTAATCTTCCGGATTCCCCACAAATAAATATGGGAGCTGATCTATTAAAAGTGGGTTACGAGACATAGTAAATCATATGATCTGTACCTCAATTTTAATAGAATACTACCCATATATTACTTAATTAGGGTTGAAAATTAAAAGCAGACTTCTATTAGTATGAAACATAATGAAAAGTGAATCAAATGTCTTCTTTTTTGTTCTTTACCAGTTTGTTAATTCTCACAAAAGATTTCACAAATGGCTTGGTGAATTAAGCATCGAGTTCACACTCTTTCTCAGTAATTTTCTATATGTAAAAGTGAAGCATTTAATAAAGTTCACTTATGATTTTTTATGTGTATGATACATGGGGTGTGATGCAGTAGGGAAAATGGTATTTATTAATTGATTTCTTCACATTGCACAGACGTAAAGGTGTACTAACCCGCAAATCGAATTTTTTTTATCTTGGCAAAATTTACAATGGTGTAACGTGTATATTAACAATTCATGAATTTTGTGCAAACCATAACCAATACCAAAATGTTTCATCCTGACTATAATCATATTATTGATAAGCTTCCAGAATTTATGCGAGAAGAGCCAATCATATTAATACATATGTCCGCCTATTTTTTTTTTAATTCTTATAAATTTATTAAATTTAATTTAATACTTTTTTTATTAAAATCATTATTATTACAATATTCTTTATTTATATTTTACTTGATAATTATATATAAATTATATTATATTATATTTATTTTTAATATTTTTTATTTGTATGTCTGTAAATGCTGTGTGAACGAGCAATCATTAAAGAATAAATTAGGTACTGATTTTAGCTACGAAATCACGTGGCTGAAAGCCAAGAGATGTTTGTTACATTCAATCAAAAAGTGATCAAAATAATACACAATAATTGTAAGGAATGTAAATAACTTATCAACAAATGAATATATTGAATTCGATAAAATTATTATTATTATTATTATTTCTTATGGTTGTAAAGAAAGAAAAAAAGGAAAGATAATGGCAATTTATTTCAATTCTAAGAAATCTAATGTTTGTTATTTTGTTATTTTGTTGTTACTTTTTGACATGGTCTTTCACGAGTTGAAAATTCGATTAATTTGACCTTCAATTCTTAAGAATAAAATTGATACGAAAGCCACGCGTATTCATAATCGTAGAAATTTCAATTACGATGGCCAGATTGTAATTTTGAATTCTCAAAGCATAACTGCTTTTTCATTAAATTTATAAGCTGTATCTTTAATCTTACCTAACCTTCATGAAGCAAGCAAACCTTTCTTACTTAAAAATCATTTTATTCCATTCTTAAAATGGTTAAACTAACTAAATTC